TAGCCCGGAGGGAGAGGACTGGCCATATCGTTGGCTGCCTCCCAAAGTGCCATGAAATAAATTTTGCAATCCCTTTGAGCCTTTAGGACCCTGAACTTGAACCTTCCCACACTGAAACTCCCACCTAACAGGATGAATGTCTTTCCCACCACCCCTACTAGCCACACCCCTTTCCATGGACCCTGGCTTCCTCGTGGGTTGTATAATTCTCCCACTTACTTGAACAAGCCAATGTCTGAGAGATCATCAGAAAAGTCACTTTAGAGACTTCTGAGGACCCGGTAATATATTCCGCATGGAGACCCTTTGGTTTGGCCAGGAGAATCATGTTCTGAACTGTAACTTCTGTTTCAGATCTCCCCAGGTGACACCTAAATCCCTTCCTGTTTTCCATGGAAGTCCGTTCAGTGTCTTCATCCATGTATACTTAAATTTAGTCCGTATGCTGGTAATACCTGACACCACAAGAAGTTACCGTTCCAGGTATGTCTAAAAACGTACATTGTCCCCAGTGATCTCCCTGTCCGATGGATTTACCTGACTCAAACGACTGGGCAAGTCTGTTGCTTATTTTCGTTCTTCACTCAAATGTGATGGTTACAACTGAGTACTCCAGATTTGCTTATGTAAGGGAGTCAAAGGATGATAGACTCCTTAGAAGAGACAAGACACATGATTACTTTCACTTACTCTTTTTGTTTTTGACTGTCCTTTAAGCATCACAGTAGCCTCCGAAGTCTTCTTGTTCTTTCCTTCTTGCTTCATACTACAGTATAAAATGAAATCTGTTTCCCCCAGCATCAGCTGTTTTGTTAAAAATAAAAACTAAGGGCTCGCCCTGCTAGCACAACAGGCCAGAGCACAGCATGATGAAGCTCTCTGAAGCCACTGCAGCACGAGTTCTGTCTCCCACCAGGGAGCTGCTGATCCACATGGCGCTGCAGAGCACCTCTGGCCTGGTCTGCTCCCCACTCTGTCTCTGGTGAATCCTCTCACCCACCATACCTCTGACCTATACCACAGCATAAATAAATAAATCTTTTAAAATAAATAAATAAAAATTAAACTTGTGGAGAGAAAACATGGGGTTTTATAGTTCCCCTACTTATTTGAGTAAATCAGTTTGTAGAGGAACAGTGCCATAGCCAAATCCACGTAGAAGGTGGAGCTTTCCAGACTCCACTCTGAGGAGAATCGATGGGAGAAGGGATGGAGCTTTTGGCAGTTAAATTATTGGGGCTTTTTGGGAGTTAGACTTCTGGTGAGGGGAGAGGGAGGGAAAAGGGAGAGGGAGATGGGTAGGTTTTTTTTTCTGCTTCAATTAATGAGAATACCCCACTCCAGTCTTTATACATTAAGTTCTGAAGTTACTTTCCAGCGCCTGTGACTCCCTATGTGATTCTTTCTTTGCCATAGGTCCTAAAGAAGTGATTATACTCAATTTATCTCTTGTGGACTAGCTACCTCTTCCAAATAAAGTAAAGGTCACCTTTAAAAAAATTTTTTTTATTATGATACAGGGAATATATATATTCTGAGAACATCACAGAGGGAAGTAAAATAATGTATGAAACATTTGTTGAGTACCTACTTGTGTCAGATGCTGGGAGTATCATGGTGAGCACAAATGGACACTGGTTTTTTTGTTGACCCAAGTCTGGGAAGAAGGGGTATGTTAGGAGGGAGAAACAGAGTTTAAGCAAATTACCACAGAAATTACATGAAATTTCAATTGTGACTAGTGCAATGAAAGAGTGGTTTCTCTAGATCTAATACTGTGATTAGATCTAGGCAGAAAGCCTGTGAGAGGCCTCTCCTGTGGAAACTTATCTAGAGTGAATATCTAAATGATAATGTGATAGACTTGAGGCAAAAACTGTCCCAATTATTTCTGTTCTTTTAGAAAATGGCTTTGCAATTCAGATGAGTTGATTACATGACTTACCTTAGCCAAAAGATGGGGGAGAAGTTCAATTAGTTCAATTAGGTTCAATTAGTTCTGTACTTAGGCCTAAAGAGGTTTCGTCTGTGACCATTCACTTTGACACTCCTGTCAGGGCCATATGAATAATGGCTAATGAGATCCATAACTCAGTCACCCCTCTGACACCTTAGCTGGCAGTCAACTGGCAGACATGTGAGGAAGGCCATTCCAACCCAGGCAGACCTCAGCTGACCTGCCATTGAGCAAGCCTGCTGAGATCAGCAACCTCAGCTCTGAGCAACTGAATCTTCCAGCTGACCCACAGAGGTACTAGACAAAATCAGTGTTTGTTGATTTATACACAGTGGAAATCCCTATGCGAGAAGAAACACAGCAGGTTCCCAAAATCAAAATCCATATGGAAGGGTGTTAGGCAACACAGGGAAATGACTTGAGCTAGGTTTAAGTGGATGGGGGCACCTGGTAGACCACTTTGAAAACTTGATTCTGAGAGCAGTGGGGGTTCACACACGAGTTTTGAAGTACAAAAACAGGTTGAGCAGGATCAGAATAGAAACAGAGTTTGCAGTAGTCAGGCATTATCTTGTGTGCTGGGATGGTGACAGGGACACAGCCACACCTTGCCACCAGGAGGTGCTACCTTTCACTGTGGTTTGTGAAAATGGCTGTCCCAGAACTTGTGCAGAGAATCCTTTGAAAGCTGGGAGTGGAGTGGTTTAAATAAACTCAAGGTAATTGGGAAGCAAAATAACAGTTGATGGCAATTGATAGGATATGAGAAGTGGCAGATTTCTAGGGACATGTCAAGGATTACTGTTTAGGGTCTTTCTTGGGGTGCTACCAGTCACTGAGAAAGAGAACAATGAAAGATCAAATCTCAGAGAAAATGAATATACCTTTGAATTTAGACATGTTGATTTTGAAGTGCCTTTGAGATTTTCCAAAAGACATCCAACTTGGTAATTAAGTAGATGAGGCTGGAACTCAGGTGAGAAGTCTGGTTGGAATCATATTTTTGAGCCATTTTGCTTTGAAATATTTCAAAATGAATTTTGGCATTGTTCATCTGTTCCAAATGGTCTAGAAATATTCATTTTCCTCAGATTAAAAACAACATAATGCTTCAAGTTTTGAAAACATAGAAAAATGTCTTTGACTTCATTTTGAAGTTTTTCAGGATGAATTTCTGTAATATTAGCACATAATAAATAATTGGAAATAAAGGCAAAGTCCAAATCTGTAAGGCAGTTTTCAGCAAACCACTGGATTCAATGCACACCTGTGCGAGGAACTGTGTGACACAATTCCCAGTGTTTTAATAACTTCTGGAAAGTTCTCAGTCACAGCTAATAAAACATAATGGTGTAGTTTTCAATATGTTGTTACTAAATTATATGGCAATTTATACCTAAGCTTCACATCTAATTATCTTAAATATTTGGCAATTTTCTGTAGGTATGTGAATATCGTATATGGAATCAATAATAGTGAACATATTTATAAGTTTAAAGGTGTTCACACAAACCCATGCCATCATTAGATCCAAAGTATGTGCTTAACAATGTTCATTTAAAATTCTAGGCTCTTTTTTCTTGCACTTTTTTTTTTTTAAAGATTTATTTGTGCATACAGAACTGGGGTACAGGCCAGAGGTTCAGGGGCGGTGAGAGGCTTCACCAGAGACAGAGTGGGGAGCAGAACAGGCAGATCGATGAAGTACACTGCTGAGGGGAGCAGCGGGAGGGTCAGGAGAGGTCTGCCACACCATGTGGTCACCTCCGGGGCAGGCGGGAATCAAACTCATGCGGAAACGGCTTTAGATTCTCAGTGCTGTGCTTTAACCTGCTGCGCCACCAGGGAGGACCCCTTTTCTTGCACTTTTAACTCTTAAAATGTTCCCTCCTGTTGGCTTTACTGTCATTAGTAAAGCTGGCCATCTGTCGTAATTCAAATGAAGTCTGATTTGTTGTAGAGGAGGTAAAGCCCTGTAATTGTGATGTTCCTAAGGGCTTGTGTTTATTGCAGTGGCATGGGTTATTCTGTGGGTGTGTGTTACTTATACTGATAGTTACTCTTCCATTTCACATCCATTGTCTCATTGTATTTTGTGAGTAAGCTCAGAAACATTGAGTTCTTTGACAACGCAACATTTCTGTCTTTATTATCCTAAGGATTTTATTTCAAAAATGCATACATTTCAATATGTGTGTATATTTGTGTGTGTGTAATTACTTTCAAGTCTCCAACTGATTATAGGTAAACACTTTTTTTTTTAATTTGAGAAACCTTTTTATAAAGATTGATTTATTTATTTATGCATATAGAACTGGGGTACAGGTCAGCAGTGCAGGTGGCAGTGACAGGATTCACCAGAGACAGATTAGGGAGCAGAACAGGCAGATTGACTAAGTATAGTGCTGAGGGGAGCAGCAGGCGAGACAGGAAAGATCTGCTGGGCCATGTGGGTCACCTCCAGGGCGGGGATGGAACTCATACTGGAGAGGCTGCAGCTAGCTTGCTGTGCTAAGTCCTAACCCGTTGCACCACCAGGGAGGACCTAATAAACACTTTGAAAATATAAAGCTCATCTCTGAGTTTCAGGCACTGTATTCAAAACTTTGTTATGTGTCATAACCATCTTCACATCATTATAGTAATTTCAAATAAAATCCACTGTTTTTGTGGTCTCTGAATTTTTCTGCATTTTAAATCGACAATCAGGGATTTAAGTAATGAATATGAACATGAATGCAAAACCCAGACTGCCTGGTTTTGAACCCTAACTTTATCCTTAAAGACTGTGATCTTGGGCAGGTCTCTTAACTTCCCTGCGCTTCAACTTCCTCATCTGTAAAATGGAGATAATAGTAATATTAGCATCTGAGGATTCTTTCCTAGCATTTGTATGGAGGATGAAATGAAAAATCATTTTTAATAATTCTTGGCATGTGGTAAACTATAAGTGTTGACATTATCTGTAATATATTTCAAGCATAAAAATCTAAATACCAAAGCATTTATTTAAATTTCCAAAACCATTTTATACTTTGAAGGTAATTTTTGTTTCCTATTATCTACCTATTCTAATGAATTTTAAACCCTGGACAGGAACCTGAAATTGAAATTATATAACTGTCTATAATATATATAGATAGTGGATATACATAGACCAGTTATCAAAAAAAAATGAAATACACGTGATTTGGGGCAGTTTTTCTATCCATTATTGGTTAATCCTTATAGCATCCCTCAGAGCCAAACATCGCTGTGATCATTTTACAGATTGAAAGCAAAACAGATTCAAGAATATCTGGGATAAATCCAGCTTCCTGGATGAGATTTGGAATCACCACTAAAAAGAGGAGAGAGGAGGGAAACCATTGGTTTAATTTAGATTAAGGATTATCATGTTATATCAAGAAAGATTCCTCTCAGTAAGAATTGTTCACAAAGAAAATAGTTCTCATTGAAATGTTCAAGATGTGGTTTTCACACAATGCCTACTTAAGATCAGCTATCCCTATTGTTCATGCATGTACTATGAGCAATTAAAAGAAGCAGCTTCAGTGGGGAAAAGGGAGCTCTGGACACAGAAAACATATTGAAGTGTAGTGTTGTAACCCAACACGATTAACAACAGTTCCTTCATAACTGCTAATAATAATGTATTTTCAGAACAAGCTAATGAGAGCTTGAATCAAAGTCAAGATTAGTGTTTATAAAAGAAACCAGATATGTATAGAAAAATTGGATTTCTGCCTGTTATACCAGAGCCTGCTCTTTGGTGTCAAGACTTTACTTGATGGAAGTTTCACTCTTTATGAAAGTGTTCCGGCATGAAAACAGGATCAACTCGTAGAGCCCTCAGAGTTGAAACACAAGTGTTTTCTCACCGTATCTGCTACCTACCCTGGCTCTCATCTCCATTCCTGATTTGTCCATTTCTCCTTATCAAATGAAATTTTTTTCAGCCCTTAGAGGAAGTCACTTTTCCCTTTACTGAATTATTCAACTAATTTGTGGTTCGAGGTGAACACACAATCATGGGGTTTGTTGAGAGGAAGAGTATTCAGTAAGACTGATGCAGCAGGTATCGCTTGAGAAAGTGTGATGAGACTAATAGATGCACTGAAAATGATTTGCTTTTTGAGTAAAGGAGGAAGAAGCATCTCGAAATAGAATGTTCTAAGCTCCCAAGGTCCATCTGCCCCTGCCTCACTCATCTGTGAACTTAACTGTACTACTTGAATTCAGGAAATGACACAAAATCAATTCAGGAGATGCCAGAAAAAATTCAAAGAAATGTATGACTCAGTAGATTTTCATGTTAGAGTATCAGGTTTCACATAATACAAGGAATATGGGGAATAAAACTGTAGAACTTCAACAAAACTTCAGAAAAAAATGCATAATTATGACATTGTGCTAGGAAAACAATACTTTAGTCCCATGTATAAATAATGAAATAGTTATGTTTATTTAGCTCCCTATTAATTTGGAAGGCAGAATATTTCGAAGGAAATTTCTTGATTTGGATTCTCAGTGAGACCATACGACCTTCATTGCTTAGCAGCATGCACTGTGGACATATACTTGTAAGCAATTGGAACTATGGACCTGAAAAATTATGTTTTTTTGAAAAATATCTTCAATAGTATGAAAATCACACATTTTGTCTGCAGACACATATTTGTAGCACTATTTTCCCCATTTCAGAATCACATCATCCCGTTTTCCTTTGAGAAGCTCCTTCATGTGAAAACTAGCCTAGGTTCTTCCTAGGTATTCTATTAACATTGACTGTACCCAGGGCATAGAAAACAAAAGTCAGTGCTTTAAAGCCCTTTCACAATTGAATTTCCCGTGGAGAAGCAATATCCCAGGAGCATAATAGATTGTCTGCCTTCCATTTACACAAACACTTTCACAGCTAACTAATCAGTTGCAATTCTAATCTATATTTCTGATTTGTTTACATGCATCAAGCAGGCTGGCAACCTTTTGAATTTAAATGTGAGTTAAAATAAAATACAACACAAGTAAATGACAGAGAATAGCTAACAGTGGGGACCTTGTTTACACTCCACATTCTGAAAATATTTGGTTCAGCTGGCTAGGAAAACCACATGGTGGAGACAGACCGGGTGCCGACTGGGTTACTGCCTGGCTGGAACCAGGGTGGGGTGATGGGACTGTCTGTCACCTCAAGCCGGAGAAAGAACACATTTTCAGCACACATGTCATCCCTGCTTTAACAGAAGATCCCTGATAATCCTTGCCAGGTCGTCTTGTGTGCCTGGCACTGGGCCAGAACAATATGCCAGTCTCTGAATCCTCTGCTAATACCCATCTCTTCTCTTCCATAGTCATCAGTAGAGGCAGCTGCTTTTATAAGTGTCTCCCAGAGCCTATTGCTTCTCCGAGTCCTTTGTTCCCTCTGACTTTCTGGAATTATCCTCTAATACTCTCATATTCCCCTCACCCCCAACATTTGAAGGTTTATTGAGAGGCTGGCATTCTGTTCCTGCTGCCTCTCCCAGTGGTTATCCTGAGTCAATTAAATGCCACGTAATAGCTCCTGAACAGTTGCTAAGGGCAAGGTGCTCCATGACATGGGAAACACAAAGATACTCTTCATCCCCATCCTACACAGAGGAGACATTTCCATGGACAGATGTGTATTAGTGCATCTTGCCACTGTTGGGTGTAAGAAATGAGAAAGAAGGTGGTGAGGCAGGGGAGGTAAGGATCACATTTTTAAAAAATTAATTGAATATTTAAAAGCTTTTTCTAACCACAGTTACCCCTAAAGTACAACTTGGAAATTTAATTATTTCATTATCTGTTGGCATATAAAACTGACCTTTAAAGGGTTAAAGCACAGCACTACAAAGTTAACCACAGCTGCTTCAGAGTTCAATCGCTAGCCAGGAAGCTGACCCACTTGGCACAGCAGACTTCTCCTGTCTTGCAAGCTGCTCCCCTCAGCAGTGTATTTCGTGACCTGCCTATTCTGCTCCCCACTCTGTCTCTGGTGAATCCTCTCACCGCCCCTGCACCTCTGCCCTGTACCCCAGTTCTGTATAAATAAATAAATAAATCCTAAAAAAAAAAAAAGAACCAAAACACATTTACTTTAGAGACCTGAACAAGCTTTTATTCCCCACCCCCTTAATAAACAAAGTTCTTCCAGCATATTTGCATCCTGAGAGCTCAAGAAGGAAAAAACTTAAGAGATTTCAGGAGCTGTAACAGGATTCCCTGTGCTCCTTGATTCTAGGAGGCATGATCTACTTTCCTTCAGCAGCCAGCTGGATGGCAGGCCCTGAGCTGAAGTTGGGAATAAGGCCCTTGGCACTCTGCGTCCCTCAGGTTGGTATGCAGCATGTGGGCCAGCCACTGGGGTTCCTGCAGCAGAGCAGAAGTTAGCCTGAGCAGCAAGAGCTGGGTTTGCCTTAGTCCAAGAACTGCTGTCCTCTGTCAGAATCCTGGGGCTGGGCAAATTTACTTCAGAGACCTGAGGAAGCTTTCACCTTTTTCTCTTTGAAAAGCACAGCTCATATGCACATCCTCACCCTGAGAGCTCAGGGAAGGACAGTGCTGCCTAGAGCTGTCAGGAGCCGCCCAGGGAGGTACCTCAGGAGGGTGGTAAGGCATTGGAGCCCTGAGCTTCCGCCCAGGCCCCCAACCACAGCAGGGACGCTTGGCAGAAGCCCCAGTGAAGGTCAGAGGCTGAAACTGGCTCAGATTCTTCTGGGGTTTCTCCAATTCTCAGCCCTCACGGGAGGACTAGAGCAGTTTTCCCCACCTGGTACCATTCTAACCCTGGCCTGACCTCTCTCCTGCTGGTGTCTGCTCTGCTGATCAGGCCTGGACAGTGCTTTCCTGCCCATGGGCCACGCCAGGTGACTTTTCCACTTTCCAGGTGGGGTGCAGAGATCCCATTGCTCCTGCTTTCTGCGCTGTAGGCTTATATCCTGAGTCCCACAGGCTTCCTTCTCCACATACCCTGGGCCTTCCTTTCCAGTCTTCCAGGCTTGGGAAGCCACTTCCCATCATATGCATCAAGGAGCAGCAAGTTATGCTCTAAAAACGAGCAGGTAGGAAACAAATGGATCGGGGACCAAATTCCCCAGTAGTTTTGTGACTGCTTAGAGGGATATCTCCCTACCAGGAAGTAGATTTTGTTATTAGCCAGAACAAGAGGTCTATCTGCTTATTTTTCAATAAAAGAATATTTGCTATAAACACACAGAAATAGAAACAAGAGAAGTATTATTCCACCTAACATTGTGAAAAGTTGAATCACATGTAGAAAACTAATTTAAGAAAATTTTTAGAAAGTGAAAGAAAACATTTTTTAACAGTGTGATTCAGGTATAATTTACACAGAGTAATTTGCCCTCTCTAGGTCTATAGTTTTATGTGCTTTGCCGAATGTGCACAGTTATGCAACCACAATCGAGTTTTAGAACACTCTCACCCAAGTCCTTCCTTGTGCCCCACGATACTCAACCCCACCCCTGCCTCCGCCCCTTGTCCCAGGAAACCACTGATGAGCTTTCTGCTGCTCTGCTTTTGCCTTTCACAGATGTGCATATCAGTTGGGGCCCTAGGCAATACTCCTCTGAGTCTGGCTTTCATTCAGCATAACATTGGTGAGATTTTTTCATGCTTCATATTTCAGTACTTCTTTTCTTTTCATATGTAGCCCATATGTGGGATCTCCCTACCACATTTTGTTTGTCAATAGACAAGCTTTTGGGTTATTTCTCTTGGGGACATTATTTGAATAATGGTACTAAAATTCACCTTAAGTTCTATACAGACATGATCATTTTTTCCCTTAGGTTTCTTTTTCTTAGATTGCAGGATGAGAATGTTGGTATGTAAAGTAGTAATTTTGTACACAAGATGATAAATGTATATTTCACTTTCAAAGAAAGTGTCAACCTTTTTGAATGGGTTGTACCATTTTACATTGTACCAACAATATAAGAGGATTTGAGTTGTACCACACTGTCATCAACACTTGTTTATATCTGTCATTGTCATTTTAGTCATTCTTCTGGCCTATCTCATTATGGGTTTAATTCAAGTTCCCCATTGACCAATGTGGTTAAACATATTTCTATGTGGTCATTGGCCATTTATTTAGTTTTCTTTGTTAATGTCTAAACCTGTGCCTGTTACCCAGATCATTTCTCTTATTGAGTTTTAAAAGTTCTTTTTTTATATTATTTACACTTTACATTATAAGTTTTTTGTTCAAATATAAATCCATAAACATTTCTTTTCTATCCTGTGTCTTACCTTTTCTTTTTTTTTTTTGTGGTATTTTTCAAGAATTATGAATTTTAATGGTGTATGACTAATTTTTGTTCTTTATAATTTATCCTTTTTGTACCTCATCTAAGAAATCTTTGTCTATCTCAGAGCCACAAAATACTCTCCTGTATTTCCTTCTGAAGAAAATAATTTGTATAATGAGGTAGATATAGTAAGTATGGAATAAAATTATGGAGAGCCATCAAAATATAAGCTATTGTTATTTTAAAAAGAAAATACAGCAAATGGATCAGAATAATATTGAAAAGTGAATAGCAAAAAATTATAAATAAATAACAATATCTAAATATAAGAAATCTAAGAACAAAAGTTCAAGATGGGTGGGCATGGACAGGGTAAAGATAGGGAACAGTAACAGAGAAGATACGCAATGCATATCTCAAAGACAGCAAAATCCCCACAGGGTACATGTGATGGTGAAATGTTTGTATCTAGAAAAGATCTTATTTTCTAACCCAAACCCTTGAATCTAACTTGACTTATCCACTTTTCCTCACATTTCTATGGCCCCTGGCATGAAGGACTAGAGACTTTCTGTGATCCTGCCCAGATTATATGTGCTTTTGTGTACTCTGCTATTCTAAACTTGAGGCTGTCAAAATCCAGCTTTGGTCCCTGCTTTTACCCTCTCATCTCAGGTTGTCTGTTCTCCACAGTTCAGTGCTTCCTGGACCTCGCAGGATTCTAGCCCTGGAAATCTAAGCCCCAGCCTGGTCATAAAACGGACAACTGACAGTCTGTCTTCCACTGGGTTAAATGCAGGGGCGGTTTGAAAGGATATTGAAGTTCGAATAACACACATTCACTTGTATGTAGATTTTCTTGTAAGTAGATGATATAAACTTACGGTAAATAAATCCCTTTATTGTGTTTTTTCCCATTTATCTGTGGATCATGTCCTGTGCCTTTAAGTATGTGGGTGTGGGCATATCAACTGAGTCAACCTAAGTTCATCAGGTTTGGTCTGTTTCAATACTTACTACAAGTAGATGTTTAAAAACCTCATTGATCTCTGAAGGAAATAGGGAGATGAAGCTGTATCTTGCAGAATCTACACTTTGTGTAACCTATTAACATCTAAACAAGGTCATCAAGAGTAGAGCCAATGTATAAACCTTCAAATATGGAAAAATATATAGACTTCAGAAATACCTACCACTGTCTTTTTTTCTCCTCTGGACCCAAATATCTTCCATAAGAATCTATTTTGAGCTAGACATATTCAAGGCATGGAAGAAGCTCTGGAATCAAAGAGGTAAAGGCAGTATAAAGAAATGTCAACGCCATTCCAAGGATAAGCCTTTCATAACCAAGGTGTGCACTAACAGGGAATTACAGTTGACCCAGACTTCTAGTCCTCAATATTTCTGCCCCCAGAAATCTATGATGATATCTTGGAGATTTGACTTTTGTCTTATTCTGGTCAAGTATGCAAAAAAAAACTTGGGATCTGATTTCCAAAGTTGAGACATTTCCAGTGGGAAATGTTGAGACATTATGAGAGAGTGCCAAAGATTTGTTTGATCAGTATGATGCCACCACTGGATTTAGAAGTTTTTGAAGGTGGGGACTGTTTCTTAAAATCTTTATATCTCAAGCACAGGTGATTGGTGGAATTTAAGTTGCAGGGGATTCTTCTAGAAATTTCTTTCTTGTTGTACAATTAAGTTCTGGTTCCAGATACTGACAGTAGTTGATGGTACCTAGTTACAATTGATCCAGTTCACTTAAGTTTACAGCCTCAATTTTCACTCTAAAGTGGTGGATACAAGTCATAAAAAGGTTGATATTCATAAGGTGGAAGATAATACGATAATATTGAATGGCTTAATAACTTAAAGTTGAGGGAAGAAAATATTACAAACAAATTTTATTTTTTTATTTTAATTCATTATTTTTTTCCTTTTAAGAATTAACTTACTTCCTTATATCATTGTTTATTTTTGGTAGTATGTGTCATAACCAAATTTAATACATCATTTACCTGCAGACTGAGATCTCTCAGTCATGTACTTTCCTATCTTCTAATATTATTTCCACAAAGTTATGAACAAAGTTTGAAAATAGGATATTTGTTCTCATAATGGGAAATTAGGCATTTTAAATAGGGTTTATTCTGTGACTCTTTTCCTCTCTGGATGTTTAGGAGATGCCAGAATAATCAAAACTGGAAAAATATATAAAACTGATTAAAGTAAAACTGTAGTTGTTCTACTTCAGAAATAAAAAGAAAAACCCTTTGATACACACAACTTTATTGACACAGTTTGACTCAATGATAAGGAACAGGCAAAGTCACACTCAAGTAATACTGTTTTTTCAAAGGTAGGAGACAGTTGTGTTCAGTTCTTTCATCATTTTCCTTCAGGCTGCCAGAACAATATATGCTCACTTCAGAAAAGCTACAATAGATAATTATAACAGCACAATAATACCTGAAGATAAATACCTTTTTCACCATCTAGAATGGTTCTACCTGGCTGTCTTTGTGAAGCAGAAGCAAAAGTTCCAAACGATGTAGATGATGTATCATTAAGCATATGTGATTGAAAGAAAAGGCTGGTACATGCATAATTTGACCTGGTTGAACATGAAAATATCTAACAAGATTTGAGCCTCTTATAACACCTTCAATCCCAAAGATCTCTTATTTGAGATGATATGTTATTGAAGACCTGTGATCTCCTACAAAGAATTACCTAGTGGAAATAGTTTTGATACATCAAATATCCACTGCCATAGGACAATGTGAGAGACAAAAATCTACATGGGATATGGAATAGGAGAATTACTTCTAGTTATACTCAGGAATTTATACCTAGTTATACTTAGGAAGCTATACATGGTTCCAAAGAACCATGGCTTTCCTATAACTGCCATGCAATGAAGTCTCTCTCTCTTGTAACTATAAATGATCTGATTTATTATGTATGCTGAATTCATATCTTTATTAAGCCTGAAAAGCAGTCACTAACTTATTAGCAGTAAGAAGCTTGCTGTTGGCTAGGTAGTCATCTCAAATTTTCATTTCCAATATAATAAAACTGGGAAGAAAATGTTTCTAAATTATGTAGATGATAACTGACTTGTAACCACAATATAGGGAGAACTTTTACAACTCAATTAGTAGTAAGACAGTTAAAAGTAGGAATATATTTGAACATCTAATTAACAAAAGAAGGTAAGTAAACAATTAGTAAGTATAAATAGTTAATTTCCCACCATTAGTCATGAGGAAATCAAAATCTATAGCACTAGAATGACTAAAACTAAAAGTACTGACAATACCAAGTGTTGTAGAGCATATGAAGCAAATGGATCTCTCACTCACTGCTAGTGGGTATGTAAATATAATATAGCTCCTTTGAAAAACAGTTTGACACATTCTCATATTATCAAATATACACATGGCATACGATCCAGAAACTTCATTCTTGGGTATTTTCCCAAGGAAGGAGAAACATATGTTCACACAAAACCCCATGTATAAATGTTTAGAGCAGACTTATTCATAATAGTCCAAAACTGGAAAGAACCCAAATATCCATCAACCATTGAAAGGATGCTATAGTTCCATGCAGTACAGTACCACATAGCAATATATAAAGACAAGATGCTGACACATGCAATGATACGGGCAAATCTCAAAAGCACAGTGCAAAATTAAACCAGGCAAAAAGGACAACCAAGTGTGTGGTTCCATTAATAAGATATGTCTATAAGATGCTAATCTAGGGACCCTCCCTGGTGGCGCAGAGGGTTAAAGCACAGCACTAAGAAGCTTAAGCCACTTCCGTGAGTTCATCCCCACCTGCCCCTGAGGAGATGCACATGGCGCGGCAGACCTCTCCTGACCCGCCCGCTGCTCCCCTCAACAGTGTACTTCGTGGATCTGCCTCTTCTGCTCCCCGTTCTGTCTCTGGCGAATCCTCTCACTCTCCCATCTCTGGCCTGTACCCCAGATCTATATGAATTTAAAAAAAAAAAGATGCTAATTTATAGGAGAGAAAAGAGATCAGTAGTTCCCAAGTAAGTGATATAAAGAGGTTTGACTTCAAAGGAGCATGAATGAAACTGGGATGATGGCAATGTTTTATGTCTTCATTATGGTAAAGGTTAAACTACTTTGAGCACTTGTCAAAAGCCATCCCACTGTATATGTTAAAATAAATTAGAACCTCCCCCCCCCCAAATAACCATGTGTAGTGAAGACTAGGTGTAAAAAAATAATCGAGAGTTTTAATTATTTCATAAACTTTACAAATTTATTATGACAGTGTATTTTCAAGATTGATTAATATGTTGGTTCAAAACATGACTGTGAGTCAAGTTGACCTCAATTTAAGTTCTGACTCTACCATTTATTAATGAAGTGACCTTATGGCAGTTACATCATTCATACTCATAGGGTCATGGTGGAAATTTAATGATGCATTTTAACCACTTTATAATTGTCTGACCTCAGAGTGAGCATTTGGCAAGTGTTAGTTAATTAAAGCAACAGCCAGTTTATATGTGTGGAGAGACACATATATAAACAAAAAATAAAATCACAATATCTGTGAAAATAAAAGAAATAGAATTAGTAGAAGATGCAATAGGGCACAAAATGAAAAGTGTTTCACTATGTCTGGAGAAAATGATGAAGTGTTTCTGGGGAAGATCATGACAAAAATAAATTTTGAATGGTGATCAAACGGTTTTTAGAATGACTAGGAGAAGACAGGACATAAAATATCATGACTTATTTGAAAATTTATCAGCAGTTTGCCTTTTCTTTTTTCTTTGAATGATCACAGAAGCGACAGAAATGGAAAATAGTCAGCCAGAATAAAAATGCCAATTTAAGAATATTGCTGCATCACATCATCATGTGATGGAATGGGTGGGTGTCAGTAAGGAGAGACCAAATGTAAAGATTACTTTGGTCACCTTGGAGAAGATGGGTTGAATCTAGAGCATGAGGTAAATGAAAGCAGGGAAAAGATGGTGACATTCTATACCTGGGTTATGGGAAAAGGCAGATTAAATTCAAGATAATGTGGGGGATGTTGTAGCTGTATATGAAGTAGAATTGATCTAGAAAAACTGTCAGACTTCAAGCTTGGCTAAGTAGCTAGTGGTGGTGGTGAAATAGGGGCGCACCTGATTGGTCCATTCCACAATCCAGGAATCACACTGTTACACAAAAGGTCTTTGTGAACCCTAAGCTGCCACCTGCCACAATGACTTCTGGTCAAGCAGCAGGGGGAAAGAACACAGCTACTGTGGGCTCCCACTGCTGAGTCTGCTAGGTTCTGGCAACAGTGGTACCACTTGACAAATAGAAAACATGTTTAAATGGGGGTTTAAGAGGGTACTCCTGTGGACATCTAGGTAGAGCTTTCCAGTAGGAGGAAGGATAAACATAACAACGTATTGGATTTCAACGGGCAGATAGGTAGATGAGTTGAAGTCATAGATATTTGGGGGGTGGGGAGTTTGAAAGGAAATGATAAATTCCATGGGAACAGACAAGAAGTTGGCAATGCAGGTGGCAGCTTAGGGTAGAGATGATGTAGAAGTATCTACGCAAAGATTTCTGCTGAGACCGGTCTTTGGAAGAATACATTAGCATCACAGTGTTGGGACTCCTCAGCTTGGCCTCTGGGAAGCTGCAGTATCAGCAGATTTCCCATGTTCACTTCGGTTGATACACACTAGAAACAGATTTCCCAACCGGCCCCCAAAGCACAAGGCTCAGAAAAGTGAAGACACTCATTGCTTTTTGCCATAGTGAATAAAGGACGCCTCAAGTGATGCTCCCTTTGCAGACTTCCTCTCACTAGTGTAGTGCGCAGGCGCGGCCTGGTGTTGCGTAGCAACCCGGGATCTGCAGACTGGGAGCTCAGGCAGTTGCGGGAGCCCCTGGTGCGTAGTGAAGAGCGGTTGCTGGTTGGATCTTCTGGCAGGTAAAGGCAGGCTGGAGACGGACTGTCTATCCGCATGGTTTGGAGAGGCCCCAGCAAAACCAGGGGAAGGAGAAGGTGCCCCCCTGGTGGAAATCTCCCGAACAACTAAGAACCAATCTTTTATTAGGAGTTCTCACAGAGTTAGATAGGGGTTCACAAGTTAGATAGGGGTTAAGGTGTGTTTCATCAGCTTTGCAGCCACCTTCCTTTTTACTTATTTATTTTGTTAGATCCTTAGAACTTTCTCTAATGAAACCTCAGCTAATAGACCATTTTAGTGGAAAATGTAATAAGCAGTAAGTTTCATGACATGCAGTTTTCAAAACATTCCAGCAAAATTACAAACATTTCATGTGGGGTACAACAAATATTTATGGACCTTCCTGACATTTGATAGAAAAGTGGCATTCTAACTCATTAATTAAAAAGAAAGGCTTTGCTTCTTCGTGTACAAGTGAATTTTTACAGGCCACCTCTCATTTAACTGAGGCCGGAGTCTCAAAGACTATTATTTGACTGTGAGTAACTGAAGAGGTGGGTTTCCACTTGTTCTACCATCCTCTCCTCAAAATAGTCTCTCCCCATAGAAGACATTGAAGAACATACAAACTGAAAATTTACCAAGAAATGATCAATACATGACAATAAAAGGTAGCTCCAATAATCAAAACATTGCAAATTGAAAGAAGATTTGTTCCATACTCAGTGCTACTAAGTTCACACATTTCCACCCTATTATTTCACTGGTAGGGTTTTACTTAAAGAAACAGATGCAGATGTGGGTGAAAATTTTAAACCTAAGGATATTTCTTCATTGCAGTGTTGTCCATGATCCAGCTAATTGGAAACAAATTCTACAGTAGGGGGCCAACTAGATAAATAGTGAATTTTAAAATATTTGAAATGACATGCTGATCCGATTAAGTGATTTGAAGCAATATATGAGGACTGATATTTCATAAACTAGCCCAAAATTTTTAAGAAGTTAGTAGAATATAGTTCCAAGAAAGGAAGTTGAAAATAGGGGGTAGAAATCCAGGTGTGATGATAAAATCTCTCTAGAAAACAACACACAAGAAATTGAAGCTTCTGAATTATACAGATTTCCCTAAGTTTATTCCTTGTTGAGTTTTCATTTACTCCATTCTCCCTTCTCTGCTTTCCAAATTTTCTATAATAATGATCCTAGACTTATATTGTACAGAACTGAGCAATTAAGATGGATAAAGAGGTCAATTTTATGTAAATTTTGGCAGGTATAAAATAACCAAAGGAAACAGTGTACTTCAAAAAGTTAGAGACTTATTTCCTTGTATCGCCATGTTTTGCTTTAAAAGAAAACAAATCTTGAAAGATCAGAGAAGTCATTTAGCTGTTTCATGTTGAATTTAAATGAAAGCAGAGTTTGCTAAGTTTTTTAAGCCCTTAGCATCATCTCTGAAGCTCATTGCTTCGTGCCTATGTCAGTACAAACTAAGCAGTGCCCATGACCAGCTCCCTCACTGTAACTCCCTGAGTTTAAGCTCTTTCAGCCTCTGTGGTCTTCAATATACAGCTACTCAAAACCATGCTCCTGAAGTAAATTTATGAGTGAAAATCAAGGGTCATTTAATTGATTTTTGAATATTACTCATGTGGAATTGCTTTGTCAATTCAAGGGTGTTAATACTTTGGAACTGGTTATAAAGAGCTATGAAGTATTTTTTCCCCTGGTCTTTAATAATAAATAACCAACTTCATTTGTACCAAACAGCTTCTGTGTGTCTGCCTGAAGAGATTACAGGCACAACTCTAGGGTGTGTGCTCTTCAAGCATCTATATAATATGCACTGAAGGCAGCATAATTTCATAGGCAAAATGTCAAAAATGACTGTGATGAAAGTTAAACTTAATTAGTATGTGGGTATCTTTAATATACTTGATAGAGTGTGAAGTAGTGCAACACAGAGTGAGCTTGCCTGGTCCCTCAAAGACCTTGCAATTTAATTAATCTGAAGGTAGGGACTCATAATAGATGTCTTTGGGAAGTCTCTGTGTCTATGAACATGTGAGTTTTAAAGTATGTGATAAATTGTGTTATGTGTCTCTCATGCCAGGAGTTGCTGTTGTTCCTTGACAGACCATCCAAATTAACCCTGACCTTGCAGAATCTCTTCAGTGATTTTCTACTTCCCAAAATTTCTCTTGAGACTAATTTCCTTGAGACTAGGATATTCCATCTGAGATTGCCTTAATGCCAAATGTAACCCCCAAACTCTGAAAGGTTCCTGGGGTTATTCTGTTATAGTCAGCAACATCTTGGAAGATTCTCTGTACCCAGATGGAGTTACTCCCCTGGTGAATGGATAGTGTTTATTTCTCTTTTCACCTTTGGGCAGGTGGAAGAAGGTTTTGCAAGGAGTACTTTCAATTTGCTGAGAATATATCTTACTTTTTCACTGAGATGTGGGTGATATTAGAAAAGACTCTGGGAGCTGAGAAAATAAAACAATTGTTAATTTGGAGTTATAAATCTTAGATAGTTTTCAGAAAATTGTTATTCTCGGGAAATGCAGAGATGATAATTATTATCAGATTCCTGCCTTGTACCAAACACTATTCTAGATGCTTGGAGTAGATTAATGGGAGAAAGAAGATGAAAATTCCGCCTCTTGTGACAAAACATTTTTGCCAATCTCAAAAATCACTCAGATTTTGTCTCGTAAGCCCCATATAAATGATTGATAAGCAAGGTAAACTATTTCCTTTATGTAAGTAAGAGTTATGTCACTAATATGTTTCCTCTTTCAAACTAGAACCAGGACTAATATTCGACTATTTTACCAATTAGTTCCTTTTAACAGAGTTTGAAGTGGAGTTTAAAAACATATTTTTGTGCATGTGCAATACTTTCTATAGATTTACTTATAGTATTTTTAAGGTAAACTTTAAGGAAAGAAGTTAATCTCCTCCTGAGGACACAAGTAGCTGAGAAACAAATACAAATGTAATGTACTCATGACTGCCTCTTTTTCCAGAATGGGTAAAAAGATAAAGAAGGAAGCAGAACCTCCCCATAAGGATGTGGTAAGTTTCTGATTTGAATGCTAGTAGCAAATTTAACAATCCATTTTAAAAATAAATTGTTCAAATAATTTGGCATGAACCAGTATATACAGAGTATACGGTGGCAGGAGCCCAAAGTCTGAGTAATGGTAACATTACTAACTTTATGTAAACACACAGTTTATATCTAACTTTATATAAGCACACAGTTACAGCATTGTTGTTACAGAATTAGCACAATTGGGGAGTAATTATTAGTTTTTTCCACTCTGTGGATGACATGTTTATGATCCTAGTCAATGAATAAAATAGTTTTGATGATTCTCTTAAGTATTTTACGTTTACATTTGCCAGACCCTCATTAGTGTTAATTATCCAAAGGAGTTTTCAAAAATCCTAGCTTAATATAAGGTTGTCTGAAGATGACCAACTGGACATGGGAAGTCCAGCTCTCTGGGCACATCATATTTATCTATACCAGTGGCTCAAGTAATGCCTTCCCCACAACACAGAAGAAGAACATGACATTGCAAAATTTTCACTTCAGACATTTATTTTGAAACAGACATGTGGCATGTTTTTCATCAAATAAGTGTGAATGGGGACAAGTACATGTAGTCAACAGACTGAGGGCTTTGCATCTGGAAGGACCCTGAGCTGAGTGTCGGAATCTCCCTGAGAGCTCTTGGACCATGGGGGTAACACATGGGAACTTGGTCACACTTCTGCTTCTTATAGACCTGTGGTGGTGAAGCTGCCAGATTTGCCCAAGTTATTTTAATTTTCTTAACCTCCTGAATGGAATTTGTATTGTTCAACTCATTTTGCTTGACTTAAAATAGCACATAAATTTCATAGTGCCTGCAAACTCAGTAAGGTTTTTCTTCATGGGAATCGCCCCCCACATCCCCCTCACAAAATAACTACTTATATATGATTCTTTACATTCTATGAAGGATGTAGCTTAACTTAAACTAGATATAAAAGAGGAGATTTGTAATTGCTTGAGAACATAAACTTCTCTGTGTCAACTAATGGCAATTTGCTTCTTTTTTGATATTTTTTGAAAATGTAGTTTGCACAGGTTGTTAGCCTCTCTTTAATGACCTTCCCAGGGCATCTCCATGTCTGGCTAAAAGTTAATGCTGATGCTTTCATAAAATTCAACTTCCATGAAATAACTGTATGAAAGGACTACTGACAGGAGTGTTACCACAATGGGAGAACGGACAAAGGACAGTGGCAGGGATGGGGCAAGGTCACGCTCAGTGGGTCTTATCCATTCTCTCAATTGAAAACAACTCAGGCTCAGGGTCCAATGACAATGGGATTTATTTAACAAACAGGAGATTGGGGGAAGTAGAGTTTCTAAGGCCAAAAATGGCTGGCTGTCTCACCCCAGATAGTGCCTGCAGAGCCTCCCCCAAATGGACACTCTTGCAAAATGGCACCGTCTGATCAACAATGGCCTGGAGCCTGTGCAAAACAGCAGGCCAGGATCCAACTCATAGCGGCAAGTGGAGGTATTGGGGGGGGGGGGCTCTGAGAGACATGCAGCAATAGTCTGAAGGTCAGACAGCACCAGACCAGGGGGTCCCAGGGAGGCCCACCCATACTGGGAGCTGCAGACAATGAAACAATCACCCCTTGTGCCATTTTAAAGGATGTACTATGCTGGCTGGCTGGCAGGTGGTGCTTAATTAACGGGGTTAGAGAAATCCAGGCTCTGCTACCCAAGGGGATGCTGCCTTGCGCTAGGGGTGTCACCTCGTGGGGCAGCAGTGATGGGGGTGACATGGGTTGAGAGATTACTCAAAGTTCATGTGGCGCAATGAGAAGCCTAGAGCAGCTATATCAGGAAGAAATGTGCAATCCAAGGGCAATCTCATATTTATTTCAAAACAGGTTCAGAGAAGATGGCAAAAGGACATGCATGGAGAAGCAATATCATCTGGAGCAAGCCAGGGTGGAGTGGTCAGGGCTATTGCTGGGGGGCTCCATAGTACCTGCTAACCAGAGCATAATATCTCTAGTCCCGGTTCTCACCTAACTTCCTGCTGATCTTTATAAGTAAGCTGTTCTAGCAGATCTTGCTAATCTGGCCATAATAGCTGCTTGCTGTTTTCAGCAGATGCTGTTTTGCAGCATGTTCCTGATACCAGAACTTTTAGCTTAGTAGGAAGCCCCGCTGCCTGACCGTACATTTTGCTTGATCAGCAGGTACTCTGGGCACTATGACAGTAGCCCTGTGAATAAAGATTCCATAAGGGGGCTCAAACCTCGCAGTACTGCTGGCTCCAAGCCATGGAGAAGGTGGGCTGAAACAGCTCACCCCAACCCCAACAAAGCCAGCATACCCGGCGGCCTCTGGTGCCACAGTGGTCCTGTTATAAAAGTACCATGATAGAGAATTTTTAGTATAAATCAAGCGATTTAGTAAATAAGAGGACAGACTCCAGAGCAATTCTGCCAGAGTCTGAGTCCTTACTCTGTCATATACCACCTATGATCGGGCAAATTGGCTAATCTCTGTGTAACCCAGTGAAGATGCAATAAGTTCACAGTGGTGAAGCAAAGTGAGATAAATGTCAAATGCATAGGCCGTGCCCGTGCTATGTAAGAACCTAGCAGATGTTGGTATTATTAATGACTTAATGGAGGATGCTCTCAGCATTCTACACAACTGTAGAAGTTGATATGAACTGTCAGTAGAGACAGGGTTTCCACTCTGGAAGATCAGCTATCACTGAAGTCCCCAGAGGCCTTGTGTGATGAGACGGTTGTGGCTGCCGATCAGGACTTCAAGTTTGGGAGCATAGAAACTGTTCTCTTACCACTGCAGGAGTAAGTGAACTTCGCTGGTGAGTAACTAGACTTACAGGAGACTGACATGGCTCTGGAACCTCAGTGATTGTCAAGTAAACCGAAGATTTTATGTTAATGAGTCAGCACCTTCTGTCTCTCTCTCTCACATGGGAACAGGGAGAGCGAAGTGTGTGGAGCACTGAATCAAAGCCGGGTGTACTAGCAGAAGCTGCCTCCTCATCTGGGCAACCAAACTTGACTTCTCGGGAGAATGGAATGTGCCTGGCCCTGTTTTTCTCACAAGCTCTTCAACCTCAGAAGTCTTCCTTTAACTCTGTCATGCACTGCCCAACTGCAGAGACATTTTTCTATATAGGAAAATAAGTCATAAGGACTTATGTTTGCATCTTTCTGTTTCATCACAGGGAAACCATCATGAACTGATAAAATATAGTGTAAATTCATAAAAAGAATACAGAACTTATAAATAATTATCATTTTGGTCACCTTTCTATTATAAAAGTTAGTTACTTGCAAGGCGAAAAGAAATTTAGAGGTTTTTTTTTTTTTTCTAAAAAAGATTTATTTATTCATACAGAACTGGGGTACAGGCCAGAGGTGCAAGGGCGGTGAGAGGATTCACCAGAGACAGAGTGGGGAGCAGAACAGGTAGACTGACGAAGTACAGTGCTGAGGGGAGCAGTGGCAGGTGAGGAGAGGTCTGCTGCACTATGTGGGTCACCTCTGTGGCCAGGGATCAAACTCACGCTGAAGCAGCTGCTGCTAGCTTCTTAGTGCTGAGCTTTAACCCGTTGTGCCACCAGGGAGGGTCCTAGAGACTATTTTTATTAGAGGTTATTTTTGTAAGGAAGGAAATGGAATGACTCTAACCACTTCATGTCAAAAATGCACTTAAAAAAGCACACTTATGACACTGTCTACTCTTTTCTTGTGAAAATAAATCTTCATGATTTCATACCACTTACGTGATAAAAACATTTTAATACAGATTTAAAAGGCTATTTACATTTATTGGCACCGTAAAAATTACTCAATTGTCATGACACATGTGTTTTTGCGTTCAAGCCTATAATTTTGTCTTTTTAATGTGAGTCTTCTAATACAATAGCCATTAACCACATGTAGTCATTTTAATTTGAATGTATAATTAAAATTATATTAAAATTAGAAGTTAGAAAATAAACTTAAAAATTTCAGTTTCTTAGTTGTATTAGTTACACTTCAGGCTTTTAAGGGCCCCAGGGAACTTGTGGCGGCCATATTGGATTATGCAGACGGGAGACATTTTCACCCTTGAAGCTCTGGTCGGCAGCACTTTCTTCAAGATATAAACATGACCTCTCAGCCTATGGAGATTCTAATTGACTGAGCTTAATACTCAAAGTTTACTCAAAATACCTCCTCTTTATTTCATTCTTTCTGCAAATAATTGTTTATTTTGCAAAGATTGTGAAATTATAGTTTCACAATCAGCTTGCTAGTAACTTACTATGAGTTCACGGGAAAGCAGATGGGATATGTAATTATAGCACAGTGTTGCTTATTTAGTCATGTGGCCTTCTGTGATAAGTATTTTATTCTCAGTGCCTTTTTCAATAAAAAATTACTAAAATGCTGTAGGCTCTGTAGGAGAAACAAATGTCCTGCCAAGTTTCTTCTTTCTCTGCCAAACATTTGGATTTCTCCTCCTTTGATGACTCTCACAGTCTCAGTCTTCCCTGTAAGCTGCCCATACTCCACATCACCCTTTCAAAATGATGACCAGAGATAAAGTAAAACATTGACATTTTTTAAAGCTGTTAAAGAAGAATTTAAGATATCTGCTATAGTTTTGGTATAAACATATTTTCATATTTGTTCCTTTGAGAATTCTGAAACAATCATGACATTCCATGTTTCAACATGGTATGTTTGTTCACATGCTTATGCGATCAGCTTTAGAAATACTGAAATGTTGAAGGTGTGAAGTAAAGTTCTAACATGAAAGGAGAATCTTTTCCCATTGGGGATTGGTGGAGAAGAATGTTAGGAATTGTCTTAAATGGTAAAGATGGTCTAAAATACTGATTCTCAGTATATCAGCGAGGGTTCAGAGCTTTGTGAGGTTAGGCTGGTAACTGTTCTTATTCAATCATTTTTCAACTCATTTATTCTAGTCCAGAGGATAGCTGGGGTGCAAGGTGGGAAAGGTAGGGCCTCAGAAGAGTTACCTCTTAGTAGTATTATGGTGGGACCCAGGAAGCTCTTCCATCATGGGCCACACTCACTCTCACACCTACTCTCACTAGAGAGTAGGCTAGAACAATTTACACAGGTCAGTGGACCCCAGTGGGCATTTGGGATGGGAAGAAACTGGAGTACCCAGATAAAGCCCCACATGGATATGGGGACAACATGAAAACGCCGCATAGTGACCTATCTGGGATTTATTTTTCTCACCAGTGTTATAGTAAAACAGTGGTGAGAGACAATGCTATGCAAGGACCTGCGGTAGAGGACTAGTGACATCTGATTTATGTTTTTAAAAATCACTCTAGCTATAATGTGGAGGGAGAGTGAACACTAGAAGAGAAACTTGAAGCTACTTACAGCAGTGGTGCAGTAAGGTGTGCAGGTAGGACCAGGACCCGCTGAGAAGGTGCAGTGTGAAGAGAGGGAGCACACATGCTCGAGGGAGAGACCGCAGGACTTGCTGATGGGTCCTGTGTGAATGTGGGAAAGGGAGTATTGAAATGTCTCAAGGTTTTTGGACTGAGCCACCCAACTAAATGATGGTACAGTTGACCATCATTAAAATAAGAAACAATGTTGTGCCCTTAGTATTATCTTAGTGAAATTCATAGCTGCACATAGCTGTGCAGAAACAAAAATAGAAATCCCAACTATTTTCAACACCCCACTACCGTGAATAAAAAATGTGAATATTTACCCAGAAAAATAGAGGTCTCACAAATAAGTTCAGTGTTTATAGTTTCAAGTATGATTTCATTGTTTTCATCTCTAGAAATGAAATAAAACTTTCAAGAAGTGGTAGGTGACATGATCATTGGTGACGGCGTTAATGGAATTATTTTAGTGACTTGAGGGGAAAGTTAGAATAGAGATGTTAAACAGGAGGTGAGGGGTGAGAAATTGTAGAAAAGTTAACAGTTGATAAGATTTTTATTTTTTTTGTCTAGGGGAGGAGAGTTGATGCTGAACCTGGGGGCTGATGATACCTAGGAAAAGTTTGTTTTTTAAAAACAAATTCAATGAGTTTTGTAAAATAAGTGTTCAGAGAGGCTGATTTCAGATGAAATTTTCAGGGCAGAGTGTAGAAAGGAGGGAACTACATAGCTATTTAGCTCCAGAGAGCTGGTTAATGGTCCCCTTGCTTCTTTAAATTCTAGTCTGCACAAGGTGGAACCACACAACAAGGCAGGCACACCTGTCAGGAAGTGCCAATCTCATTATGTCATGGCGCTCACAGAATGTCTGGAAGACTTTCTAATTTGACCAGAAGTAGAAAGATGTTATTGGGCACATGCAGCATTAAGACAAATCCCCAGAAGAGTTGCCCCTTAGTAGTACTATGGATAATCTAGCCCTGGAGTACCCCCAGGTCTGGCCTAGTAGAGATTTAGAATTGGACATAAGTAGAGCAAACTGAGCTTTACGTGAGACAATAGCCTTGCAGAACAGAATTCAGCATCTACAGGAAAACCCCCACTAGTGAATCTGGGCACCACTTTTTAAAATTATTGATCATGCATTTATAGTGATATTAATTTTCCCTGTAGTTCAACTTTGTCAACTTTGTTTGGGTTAAAATGCAAAGCAAATGCTAGTAATATTTGTTCATGGCTTTTATATATCTTTTCATTGATTCCATGAAAAGATAGAAGAAGGAAGTTTAGGTTTGGTAGGAGTGTTAAAATAACAAGTCATAACATCTAACCAGGGTAAAAAGTGAAGAAGTGAGAGGGAGTAATTGGACTGGTGGTCCAGTGGAGGTGAAGAATAGCTGTAAGCTGAACGATGAAACTTTATCTTTCACCTCTTGCTGGCTCACTACCAAGAAACCATTAAATCTGACCCTATCTAATGGAAACTAATTTGTGAGCAGGAAAGACAATTGATAGGATAGCAAGTGTAATAGCAGAAACAAAGCTGCTATTATAAATAGATGTGACTGAGTCAGAATTAGTGAAAGGGGCAGAAGAGAACTCTAAAAAAATAATGAGAATGTTTCTGCTTCTGGTTAGGAGGTGATTGTAGGAGGAAACAGAAGGGCATTTCTTCCACTATAACAGCTGTGAAAAGCAGATGGTCTTAAATATAGACTCAAAGAGGTGTGAAGGGCAAATTAAAAAGTCGGATAACACCAAGATTTGGTGAGGCATGTAAACTTTTGAGAGACAATTTAGAAAATTGTTCAATAGTTTCTCTGAAAGGTAAATATATGTCCACCCTATGACTCCTAAATTCCATTGCGAGGTCTATGCCTAAGAGAAAGGAAGGCATTTATTCACAAATGACGTATATAGAAATGTCCATTGCAGTTTTATTCATGACAGCCTCAGCTGAAAGAAAAGACCACAGCCATTATATTCCAATGTAAGGCTGTATGACCATAAAAATATGACCTCACCATACAAAAATGTAAATGCACCTCAAAAAACATTGTGCTAAGCTAATGAAGGCAAATGTTGAAGAGAGAGAGATCCCATTGTATATGAAGTTCAAGAGTAGAAAGACTACTTGATGATTTTTATGTCAAAATAATGGTTATCTTTCTGGGGTGGAGCTCAGGGAATGAGTTTCTGTAAATATAAAAGAGTAATAGAAATGTTCTATATCTTGGTGAAAAAGATCTAAATTCATATTCTGTAAGATCAAGTGGAGGAAATAACCAGACAACATATCAGTACAGAAAATAAAATATGGTAGTGTTTGTTTTGTGCCAAATCTGATTAATTTAGTTATTTGATCATTGATATGTTTTACTTATACTTATCATTTTATTTTGTTTTTGATTTTTCTTTGTTACATTTCTTTTGTGTTTTCTTTCCTTTTTCTGAATTGATTGGTTATTGTTTTGTTTGGATTATCTGGAACTTTTACTAACCTGTATCTTACTGAGCAGACATTTAAACTTGTGTAATAACTAGGCAATGATCTCATTCTTTTAAAAAAAAATTCCTTTACCTTAAAAAGGAAATATATAGAGAGAGAATTTCAATTCCGAGGCATTAACTCTTAATCTTACAATGTATCATCATTATCTCAGGGAATTCTTTCTTAAGAATTACACTGTGACTCATAGCATCATTATTCAGTTTAACTATATATTTTCTATATCAATTCACCACTATTGTTTATATTTTGTCCTTACCAGTTTTGACTGGAGTATTTGTCAAGTAATTTGTTTACATATATAGTTGATATATTTGTTGAGTATGTGGATGCATATACATCTTTTTCATATGTAAATGTAGCCAGATATAAATTTCTAGAGCCATACCCATTTTGCTTTGAATTCTGTTGTTTATCCTCAATAGATAGTTGGGAATGGATGACCTAGGATATTTGTTAAGGCCTTCCAGGCTTGACTTACTCAATATTATTTCTGCTTCCTATTATGTATTTTCTACTTAGTCACACTCCTACTTTTTCCACCATAAACACAATATTCATTCCCATTTTACACCTTCTTAGTATTATTATCCCCATTTAAATATCTTTATCTCAACTGATCCTACATTATCCATTCTTTAAACCATAGCCAATATTCTGCCACCTTCATGGATCTTTCTGTATATTCTCCCACATTATAGTATCTATGTTTCTGTTCTTCATAGAATCTTAGAATTTTTTTTTAAAAGATTTATTTATTTATTTGTACAGAACTGGGGTACAGGCCAGAGATGCGGAGGGTGAGAGGAT